CGCGCACCGACACCGGTGTTGGTCTATGGGCTTGATGCATGCGCCGGTGCGTCGGTGTTGCTGGACCCATCACTAGGAAACACGTCACTTAAAAAAAAAACAACTTCATATTTTGATAAGTTTTGGCGTTAAGATGAGGTGTTGTTTTTAGTCATATCGAAATTGGTTTATTTTACGAAACTACAATCGAAACACTTTTTTTCCATGTCCAACGAGTCACGTGATCAACCACCGGCTGTTGTCACTGGTGCAAACCACGAAGAAGAAGACGACAGGAAGTAGTTGGAGGATGATGGCACCACATTATTTTAAGGACTTAAAAAATGCATTCGCGTCAGATTATAAGTGCGTGCCTTCTCTAATGTTAACATCGCAATTGCAAAATTGCTGTTTTTTTTTGTTTTGTTTTTTTGTTTTTTTACATTAGCAGAACATTGACAAAGTTTTATCTGTAGGGGAAATGCAGCTAGTCATGATACAATCAGGACACAGACATAAGCTACTGCAGTGTGTGTTGAGGGACTGAATACCAACACTGACGTTGTTTTCAGATTTTTGTTTTGAAAAAAAAAAAAAACAACTCTGAAAACCGTGTGTCATTTCCCATCCATTAAGCAGTTATACATTACGTTGTTTGTTGTCCACTTAATATGTCACGTTTTTAGCAGGAATCATGTTAAATGCAAATAGCAGAGCACAGTACGTTCAGTCTGCTGGGGGCACAGCGCATTTTGGAGTCTGACCTGCATCGCCCGACACATGACTTTGTAAGAGGAGACGTTCTCGTCCTCTGGGCCCGAAAATGTGTGCTGCTTGGCCTGAATCAGCTCCATTAAAGAGGCCAACAGGCTATTAACCCCAGCATCAATACCTCACAGGTTCAGCGACGCTCCCAAACCCCATTCCAGCAGCCGGTCATAAACACCGGCCTTATTATAGCATCTCCTGGCCAGAGCGGCGAGCTCCGGTCGGCCTCGTAACAAAAGAGTCCTGAAGTCAAGATTAACCCGGGTGGGACAGAGGCCAGAAACGAACAAGAGACAGAGTCGTGAGGACGCGGGAGCTAATGAACTGTTGCTCGGTTTTATGTTTCGGGGTTTAATTCCTGTCGGTGGGCTCCAAATGATTTCATTCAATTTCGTTTGGGGAATAAAAGTGGTTCCGGGCTGCTGGGTTTGCGCATCCAAATGGAAGATAAAGTGCACCGACTGAATCACATTGTGCCACATCAGTTCACCTCAATCATATTCCCTCCCCGGAACCCCTTCCAGCAGATTTTTTATTCATAAGCCCCTGGCTTAATCAACATTAGAGAAGGAGGTGTTGAAAGGAATAAAACAATTTAGCGACTACCAATGCATTTGTCTCACAGCATGAATGCGACGCGACTGCAAATGGATTTTTTTTTTTAATTCACCAGCTTGCAAAGATAACATCGCACTAAAATATGATCTGAGTTTTAGTATTTACAAAGCTATAGGGATCGTGCCGTAATCAGAGTTAAAGTGCAAACCGCGATGAGCTTCTCTGTGAGAGTAAACAAAGGAAGATTGTTTTAGATTAGAGGCTTATCGTGGAAGTGCAGCAGAAACGCCCCACTGAGAGGAACTATCACATCAGTCAAATCCCATCTTGGAATCTGACAAAAGTGACAATTGAGAAGAACACGCGCGCGCGCATGTGCACACATTTGAACTTGCATGAGACTCATTAATGATCTCACCCCGGGGTGAAAACAGAAACAGCGACACTGAGTGTAAGACGTTAATAAAAGCCTTTTGCAATAAATGTCACGAAGGGAGGAGGCGAGGGTGTCGGGCTGGTGATGTCACTCGTTTCCTCTTGCCTTTGGCAGGCTCGCGGTGTTTACCCAACACCCTCAGGTGCAGCGACTGAGGCGTCGCTAGGCAACCGCACCATCCCTGGCGCTGCTCTGCCTCTGGCACTCAAGTGGGAGCTTATGTGGACTTAACTCGGAAAAGAGCAGCAGGGCTGAGGAGCGGAAGGGAGGATTACCAGGAAAAATATTGGATTGGGCCGAGACACAAGGGCCGAGGCCTTACCTGAGTCCCCGCTGCCGTCGAACATTGACGCCCTGAGAGGCTTTCGGGCCTCGACGAGGTTCCCACAACCAGAAAGAGACCCCGGTTTGGCTTTCTTCTTCTTGGCTTTTTTTTTTTTTTTTTTTTTTTTTTTTTTTTTGATTGATTATTCACAGCAAAGTCGATGATGCAGGGTCACCGAGCAGACTGGGTGCTTAATGAGTAAAGGGAAATATAAGTATTGAATGGTGAATGCTATTATAACCTAATGTTTAAGAGAACGACTCTGTCAGCAAGATAAACCTTATAAAGGGAATGAAATATTGCCATCTAGTGGCTACCGGATATATCTTCCTGAAGGAAAAGAAAAGCTCCACATCGTTGGTTAGCACCCGCAAGTTGTAATGTATTTTAGTCATTTAAACGTTGTGATTTGGAAAGATTTAACTTTTATTTTTCAGGTCGATTAGTCATCAGAGATCCACAGCTGTCAGAGTAACTTACATGCTCAGATAAACCTGAATTTATGGAAGAGTGGCAAGAAAACAAAATAAAATAAATAAAAATACTACGAACTGCATGTTGCAGCTCTAAGAAAAGAAACAATGCTCTGGTCAGATAAGATGTTCAGCTATTGATGCGCTAGAATGGTCCAGTCAAAGTCAACATCTAAATCCTAAAAAATCTGTGGAAATCTTGAAATCTATGTTTCTAGATGTGACTAAGCTGGTAGAAAATATGTCAGTAGTGTATATCAGTAGAACTGCACACCACATATAATTTTAATTCCAAACAGGAATGAAAACCCTGAACCCTTATTCCACTTCACAACTGAGTGCCACTTATAGTTTTGGTCTATCAAAACAACAAAAAAATCCCTATAATGTATACTTTTAGGCTTGTGGTGACAAAATCTGAGACGTCAAATGGATGAGGATCTATTTTTTTGTGAGCTGTGTAGCATTCCTTTTTAATGGACGTCGTAGACACACACTCACACACACAAAAGAAAAAAAAAGCTGCTCTGCTCCCAATCATTAAACCATCAGGCTGCTTTCCCAGTGGAAGAATGGGCCTAATCATTTCCAGCAAATGGTTTATTATGGCGAATGTTAGCAGCTGATGTGACAGCTGTTTCCAGTGCACCGTGCAGGGGCTGATAATGGGGACAGCCTTAAACAAGACGACTCAACAAAGAGTCAGACAGACTGGTAAGCAGGCTGCATGCGTGTGATTTCGTTCTGAGCAGAGTGATTGTTGCTGCACTTCACACACACACACACACACAGACACAGACGCAGGGGACGCGTACAGTGAACTACAGGTGGTTTTACAGATGTTAAGGGTTTAGGTCCTTTGCGTAACAGAGCTTCGCAGTCCTTACAGACATACAGCACATATTTAGATGCTGCCCCCTGGTGAAAATCAAAGCAAAAAACATCAATACATGGAATATGTAAAATCATCCTTTATTCAAACTTTTCAGTAGAGAAATTTAGATTTTCTTGATGCAGTATGCATAAATTTTCAATTCTATACAAAACCGTATGTAAAACTTTAGATGAAACATTTACAAATGTACAAGAAGAAACTCTAGTTTCTTAAGACAGACACGCTAAAGACCTAAAGGGTTGTCCAGTAGCTCACCAAAGTAGTAATGTCACATTACCGCTGTCAGTTTGCAACAGGAGTAAAAATGTGTGTTGGGAGGCTACCAAAATAGACTGAAGAAGTTTGGTATAGCAACAGAGGTTAGAAGCCTTAAAAAAACTATTAGAATTAGAAATTTTAAGTTTAAATCTAAAGAATAGATTAAAAATAAAGAACACCCAACTCTAAGCATCTGAAATCTAAAACGTCATTTCAAACATATCCTGTTGTGGATGTACTTTTAATTTTTTTTTCCAGCTTTAAGCAATAGGACACACTTGTAGCGTCACATAATAAATAAATAGCTAAACATTAATTTAAACTTAGATTTTTAGTAAATAAATACGATGGAAATTTTTAAATATGCTGCAAAGTAATGGAGATGAACAGAGTGAGCTTACAGCAGGGTTAATTGTGTGAGAATGGTTGTATGGCTTATTCATAGTTAGGAAGGCAACTCAGCAGGTTACACAGTTTGGAGATCAAACTAAAAATCAACACAAACTAGAACGAGATCATCATTCAAGAAAAACAAAACAAAAACAAACCGGTTGTCTAATACTAGTGATTTCCATAGCTTTAAAGCCTAGCTTGCATACGAATGTTCAGAAAATAAACCAAACTATGATACAGTGCACAATTGTACATTATGTCTTTTGTTCACACAAAATAAAACCTTCATAAAACACGTTTTACTTTTGCACCATCTTGAAAGAAAAGGAGGTTTTAACAGGGCAGATAAAGGGGCATCAGTCAACGACTGCTCTGAAGGAAAAGAGGCATCACTTGAGGAGGGAGGTAGAGAGGCCTTCCAGTATGGCTACGATTGTATTTTATGATAGCAGGTGAACCTAAAGAACCTTTAAATGCACCAAATAGATCGTCTCCTCTCCTTTTTACCCAAAGGAGTCTTTCTCTAGAGGGAGCGTTTTGGTCTCTCCACTCACGTCGCTCCCTCCTCCCCCCTCTACTCTCTCTCTATCTCTCTCTCTCTCTCTCTTTCTCAAACATCAAGGCTATTTGAGAAAGCCCTTGTAGAGGAAATGAGAGCGACTGGTAAATCTCTCGTTCTCCAGGCAGAAGAGCAGGTCCCTGAGATTGACACGCGTGATGCGCTGTCGAGTGAGTCTGGAGCCCGAGGAACCAGCGGCGCCGGTTAGAGACAAGCCTGTTCCGGACCCCTGAAAGATGTGGAGAAGTTAAGGAAGAAGGAAACGGTGAGCGATGCTGACGGCGCTTGACAACATCTCTGCGATAAGTGACGTTACAACTACAAACGTGCTAGTGCATAACTGTGCAGTGAGTGGAAAAAGCACATAGTGTGCTACAAAAGTGAGTACACTCAATTACATTTTTGTACATACCTTATGTCTTTTCATTGGACAACATTTAAAATATGACACTTTGATTCAATGTAAAGCAGTCATTGTACAGCTTGTAGGGTATCTGCAGGTTTTTACCAACTCAAATTTAAGACTTTTTAAGACTGTACCGCAAGACCTGTATCACGACAGAAATGTACGAACATCGTCCAATTGGTGGTAAATTTCCACTTACCCATAACAGATGCAAAAAGCTAGCTAGCAAGTGTACATTAGCTGTGAATTACCAGTAGCTTCAACAGCGAAGTCACGGAACGCAACGATGTCTGAGTGCAACTCAGACTTTTGCCTGAGATTTAACCCTGCTGCTAAGACACCATTTAAGACATGTGACTGTTATATTAAAGGTCATATTACATTTTAGTAAGACATTTTAAGGCCTTCATTTTAGATACATGAATTTAAGACTGTTTAAGGACGCGCAGACACCCTGGTTTGTATAACAGTATACCCAGAAAATGATGCTGCCACCAAAAAGTTTTACTGTGGATGTTGTTTGGTTCGAACTGATGCGCAATTTTGGTGTTAATTCTTCATATAGGAATTTTCATGTCGACCAAGAAACCTCTATTTAGGTCTCATATGATCGTAAAGTGACAAAATGTGGAAAAGTTCAAACAGTATGAATACCTTTGCAGGACTTTGGAATCATTCCCTTTATTATCTAAGGTCTTCATATTTTTGAGAGCAAATGGAACTACAATAAAGCATTAAATATATCTGTTGTATGTGTAACACATCCATATAATACATGAGTCCCACTTTCTGAAATGAGTGACAAAAAAACAATGAACTTTTTTCATTATACTATTCTTTTTCTAGGTTTTACTCGTGCAACTGAGTATCATAGAGCAAACTGAGTGTTTGGACAGAAAGCACCATATGGCCGGGGCTTTCCCTGGGTTAGAGCCTGCATGTTCTTCTGAGCACACTTCTCTTCCAGATTCCACCCACTGTCCAAAGACAAGCAGATTACACTGATCAGCGATGAGCCAGGGAGCTCATAAAGACCGTTAGCTCAACCAAAACGAATGATCATGTTGGCAAAGCAGAAGTAAAATCATTTAAAGGAGATAGAAGGTAATAAAAAAAGATATGTTGAAACACCTTTTAGTGCAAGGTGAGAAGTCAATGTGAATATTTTGCGATTTTAATAAAAGTGACACCTCTCCAAGTGTGCCATAAAGCGTTAGCTGTAACATTAAACTGCACTAAAAGCAGTAGGAAGGGCAAATTCTCAAAGGCCAATGAACAGTTTCCTCCAAAAAAAAAAAAAAAGAAGTCTTTCTTCACAAGAACAGGGAGAATAAAGGATGACAGTCCAAACTGAATGTGTCATTTCATTAGACGTATGTGGATCAAACTTGTTTGATGTGTGTTTACAGGAGTCAGCTGACGGTTGCAGTGAGAACAGAGCTCTGCTTGACCTAATGAGAGCCGTCGCTCTGCAAGTTTCTCTGCTCGAGCAGTTGGTGAGGACCGCCGGTGACAGCTGGTGACAAACTCAGCTTTCTATCACCAACACGGCCACCGAGAAGCAGGCTCGACTCTCACCGCTAACATTTGTAACCATTAACAAAAAGAATGTTTCAAACTGGAGCTATAAATACACTTAGTGACTCTCAGAAAGGATCTGTTGATGACAGTGCCTTGCTAAAGTATTCATATCTCTTTTTTTAACGTTTTAATCACATTGCATCCTCAACCTTCAGTGTGATTTTTTTTATTTTTTTATTTTGTGATGGGGTAATCCTGTCGTGACAAGCAATAAATCAATTCATCACACGCTAAATTAAAAATGACCTTGATAATTTCGACTTGGACAATAATCTTTAAAAAGACACTTCCCTTTTAATATTGTTGAAAAGCCGCCATTTTGAAAAACACTGGAAACATTTGACATCCACTTTGAAGTAGTTAGTTTGCACTTTTTTTTTCATATAAAAATCCTACCTGGCTCTTTTGTCTGTTTTCCCTGACCAAGAGGACTGATTAATATTTTTTGAAATGGTTCCAGATGCTTCATAATCTATTTTAATTATTGTTGTCTCAGTTGTTTTGTTTAGTTATTTTGGATTTTTAAAATGTTTTCCAGTCCCAGTGTCAAATGTTCTTGATTTTTGAGATGGTGTTCTAGTATTATCATTATATTAGTTGAAAAATGTTCTCAAAATGACATTGTTATTGTTTATCACAATACTTTCTGGCATAATTTATGGTCCAGCAAAATTTGTTGTCGTGACAGAAATATGATAGGCCAACACAAAATTGGACATAATGGTAAATGGTAGGGGAAATGATGATTAAGTTCACAAATGTATCAAAACCTGATTGTCCACCAAGACTGAGCAAGGGAAATATTAATCAGAGAAGTCAGATGAGCCAATATAACTCTGCAGGAGCTGCATTTGTCCAATCCATAAATCTGGGCATTTTGAAAGATGGGCAAAAAGACGTCTGTTAAAAAAAAAAAAAAAAAAAAGTGCACAGTCCTCCAAAACTCTCCACATTTTAAAGACTAGAGGAAACATACCTCTAGAGACTTGCAACTGAAAGCCATGCATCGTTTTTACAATGATCAATGTCAATTATGCGATACTTTTTGTTTACTAGATGCTATTTAAATGCATAAAAGTTTTTGACTTTGAGAAAAAGTTTAAATGCTCTAAATATTTGTTGCGAGACTCTGTGTGAAAAGATAAACTATGATAAACTTATTAATTGTGCTGTCAAATAATAACCAAAACATGCAATTACAGAATATTATCCGACTATTGCTTTTTAGTTTTTCCCTGATGTTGCGCTAATAAAAACAAGGATAGGTGGGGAAAAAAAATAGAGAGAGAGAGATGACCCAGAATCCTAATGCATCCGGCCCTGGCTGCTGCAGGTGCACAGGCATAAATCGTGCAAACATTAATTACTGTCTTCATTGTTACCTCAGCTGAAGCAGATGAGGATGGAGAGTCCAGGTTCTTCTTCTTCTTCCTGGGACCAATGGCTGCCAAAGCAGTCAGGTTGGCCTCCCTCTGTCTCATCTGAGCCAGCTCCTGCTGCTGCATCTGGACAACACACACAGAAACACACACACATACGCTCACCAAAAACTGAATCAGTCGTAAACGTGACAGAGAGACCTGCAGACCGTGCTCCGCCTCAACTCGTACCTCTTTCGCCTTCTGTTTCAAACGCAGCTGCTCCGGATCCTCTTGCCGCGCTCGGGACTGAAAGGCCGACATGAAGAAAAGTCGTCGTTTATTTGAGACACTTCGATTGCAGTTTGACGTCAACAGCAAAGCATAAAGAATAAGATACTGCTTATATAACCGTGCAATAACTAGAAAAAAAAAACAGGCAAAAATAAATAAATAAAAAATCCACTTATTTTTGCACAAGATAATAAAAAGGCAAGAGGTGTCAATTAAAAAGCTCTTATTAAATAATCAGAGTTTGATGTGTTGCACCATTTAAAACCACTTGTTAAATCTAACCCCAGCAGAGTCACAGTGTTAAGTCAACTGTTTACTGTAAAGACAGAAATGCAACAGGTGGCACAAAACGACAACAAGCAGACGTACAGTCTGTGGTAAATGATGACAATGATGGGTTTCATTTTCTGAAGTCACTTTGATCTACTTAAGCATGATTGAGAATCTGTGGAGATTAGGGTTATGGCAAAGAGGCCTTTCAACAAAAAAAAAAATGTTAAGAGCGTATCACCACAATTAATACTGTAAATACCAACAAATTGGGGATTATCAGAAGGATTGCCCTGATGATTGCAGACAAGACTTTTCATAGTACTTGAAACATTTTTGTTTTATCAAAATGTAAAAAAAGAAAAACAACAACCCCAAAATGTATATATTTTTAGATTGATACCCCTTTTTACATTGTCAAATTCCCTTTTGAGAGACGGCCGCCTGATCTCTATCAGAAACAACTCTCTGAGGATTAAGACAGTCATTTAAAAACAAAATAAGCCAGGTGTATAGACAACTATCAGCTGAACTTTAGACTCTGCAGTATATGGATATGACTGTAGGGCTGAACAAATTAATCAATAGTCGTCAAATAATTTAGTAATAGATTAATTACTTTTTACGTAAACGTAAAGTCCTAAAGCCCCAAAACTAAGGTGAATCAATTTCAGACTTTAAGTCCTCACAGAAATCCTGGACAGTTGAAATTGTTCTCAACAAAACAGCAACAGCCAGAAGTTCAAATGTAAACTTTGAAATGCAGAGAGGGTTCGTTTTCTTTAAGCTTACTCTTCTAGAGCTGGAAGTTTTTTACACATTCTGGCTTCAACAAACTAAAATCTATGAATCATTACGTATTTAATGTCATGTGGTTAAATCTGACGTTAGAAATTCAACCCAAATACCAATTAGGACGCTTGCTGGCAGCGGGCTCCCTGTTGTCGAGTCATAAATCAATCCCGGCCGACCCTGGGGTCAAACCGTAAGGCGCTCTCGAGTCAACTGAAAAGCTGTCAAGTGACTAAAACGTCGTATGTAGGCAAAACATTTAAGACGGCTGTTTATGGTGAACACAAAAATGTAACAGGCGGCTAAAAACAACAACAGGCA